AGGATTTGAAAATCTCATTTATTAGCAATGTGCTTCAGAAACTGATTGACTTACAAAGTCTGGTCCCTGAATGATGAAATACAGAGAAAAAAATTGAAATCCTAATTTAATAATTGGTTATTAATATAAGAGAAAAAAAATCACCTTTCTGAACAAGAAGAGGAGCGTTGGAAGTAGAAAACCCAGACTGGAATTGTAGCTGTACTATTGAAGATAATGATTAGAGCTGTAGCCTCACTCTCTGTTTTTGTATACTCACAGGGTTATTGTGTTGTTGATAGTGGTGGTGGTGGTTTTATATAGCCCAGGACAGGCCAGTTGCGTGGTGCAAAAGATAGAACAGTGGACTTGGAGCCAGGAAGATCTGGGTTCACATCTTAGCTTAGGTACTTACTAGCTATATGATCCTGGGCAAGTTACTTAACTCTATTTGCCTCAATTCCTCATCTGAAAAATGGGAACACAGAGGAGACTGAAATAGCGAAGGTGTCCAATAACTTGGCTAAGAAAACGTCATGGATAAAAGTCCATGGCATCACATAAAGTAAGACATCACTGAGTGACTTAACAAGAAGTCCTGGGCAACTAAATATGGATCCTAGAAGTGAACATGATAGTCTAAGTTTGATCTGATCAGGACCATGGAGAGTTGCTTCTATTCTTGGCATGATTATTTTATCCAACCTTGTGATTTCACTGGTGTGGGGGCATTCCAGCTTGGAGAGTCCTGCTGCTGATGTCAATCAGCCAGGGATTAGGGAGTTGCCTGGGACACAGAGGGGTTAAATGATTTTCTTCTGGACAAGCCAGAAGGTAGGACTTGGACCCAGGTCTTCCTGACTCCCAGACTGATCCTCTATTGTCTATCCCAGGCTCTATCTGTTTCATGTGTTAATGCAACCTAGCTAAGGCAGCTACAGTCCAGACATAGAACACTAGACAAACAGATACAAGTGAACACACAGAGAAACACAAACACACACTTCTCCTGTTGGACAGGCAAGGCAGAGAGGGGTCAGAACTCCAACTTTTTCATAGGGGCTAGAGATCCTGCTCCTTTTCCCTCAGTTCTCCCCTTCTGAAGCCCTCAAGGCTGAGCAATACTACCTCTCCTTCCAGCTGCCCCCACTTAGGGATGCTGCCTCCCCCAACAGAAAGGGGAAGAACCCCAGGACAGCTGCTGCTCTCCTGCCTCCCTCCCTCACTGGTGAAGGCCTAGAAGAGAGATGAGGCAGAAGCCAGTATACAGGGTCTCCACCAGGTTCACAGGGAGTATCTTGAGGTGCTGTGGTAGAGGCATGAAAGTGTGGTAGGAGGAGAGAGAAAGGAAAGGAGGGAACTGTCTCTGCTGGACTGGGCTCTCCCACTTCCCTTCTGGTCTGTGTAGTACAAAGCCACCCAGTCTTACACACCCTCCGATACACTCAAACACACACACACACACACAGACACACATACACATGTGTGTGCACACATGCACACACACACACACACACACAGTGTAAGAGCTACATATTATGTAGCTACACTGCCCTACGCCCTCTAGGAGACCTCACCCTCTTGATCTGCCATGCAGCTGAAGACTTGGTTCCTCCATGCTCTGGAAACTTGATTCCCTGATCGGTTTACCCTGACACCAAAGGAAGGCATAGGAGAATTAACACTTGTTCAGTGGCTCCCTAAGATACCTTTAAAGATCTTTCATACCCCTGACCTATTCCCTCCCTTCAATTTCATCTGTATTAATAATATGGGAACTGCCTATTTGACAATCTACTCCCACCTCCACCCAAAGTATCAGCTTTCTTGACAAGCAGACAGGCTGACGATGAAAAGTAAATGAATGAACAAGTGAATGAATGAATGAAAAGCACTGTGGTTTTTTGACTGCTTACTTACATACCAAGAGCCATGCTTGGCAACATGCTGGTTTAGGGGTGATGAGAAGGTTAATAGTAAAGGATGACACTCACATTGTGGGCCTCAGTGAGTGAGAGGATGGTTGTACCTTCAGCAGGTATAAGGAATTTTGAAAGGAAAGAATGTTGAGGGGAGAGTGATATAAAGAGTTCTGTTTTGGACATGCTGAATTTAATATATCTACAGGACATCCAGTTTTATACGTCCAATGGGCAAGTTTTAGATTCAAGACTGGAGGCCAGCAGAGACAAGAAGATGTGAGAATGGATTGGACAAGAAGATATGAGAATCATCTCAATAGAGATGATCATTGACTCCATGGGAACTGATGAGAGCACCAAGTGAAATAGTATTGAGATAGAAGAGAAAGCAGCTCAGGATGAAGCCCTGTGGGACCCTCATGGGTACCAGGCATGACCTGGGTGAAGATCCAAATGGCGTGGCCATGGTGTGGTGCTCTGGCGCAGGTGCTGTCCTTTACCTTTCTTTGTATTTCCAGTTCTTACTACAGTGTCTGGCACACAATAGGCACTTATTAAATGTTTGTTCACTGATTAAAAGGAGATCCAGGAAGAAATAATGTCACAAAAACTCAGAGAGACAGAAGTATGAAGAGAAGGGTGAACAACAGTGTTAAGGGCTGGAAAGTGATCTGGAGAGGTGAGGACTGAGAAAAGGCCATTGGATTTGGCATCTGAGAGATAGTTAGCAACATTAATGAGAGAGGTTTCAGTTGACTGATGAGGGCAGAAGGTCAACTGTAAAGAGTTAAGAAGAGAGAGGAAAGCAAATAGAGGTGACTATTATAAATGCTCTTTTCAAGGAATTTAGCCACAGAAGGGAGGTGATATATGGGATGATAATTAGAGAGGATGGATGGATACAGGGAGAGACTTTTTAAGGATGGGGGAGACAAAGACATGTTTGTCGGCAGGGTTGACACATCCAGCACACAGGGGGATATTGAAGTGAAAGAATGTGTATGACAGAGGGAGCAGTCTGCTGGAGGAAATGGGCTGGAAGGGGACCCCTTGTGCAGGTAGAGAGGGCTTTGGCTCAATAAGGAGTAAGCATATCTCTATGTGTGAGACAGGGCTGGGGGAGGAGACAGGGGCACAAGGCATCTGAGTGATGTGAGAGGAAGTGGAGGGGTGAAGAAGGAGCTCTAGGGGAATGACCTCAATATTTTCAGTAAGATATGAGGCAAGGTTCTCAGCTGAGAGGGTGGGTGGGTGTGAGAAGGAGCCATTGGAGGTCTGAGGAGGGGCAACAATTTTCTGAAGAGCCATAGTAGTGAGTGGGATAGTGAGTTAATTAGAGAAGTATAAAAAGATTGCCTTGGGGCTCCAGGAGTAGTCTTGACACCTTTTGGGGGAAACTAAATGCTGTTTTCCTAGGGAAGGAAGAGGCATGGATGGAACCCATGTTGAGGAGAAAGACTGGTACACATTAGTCCTATTACACAGGACTTGGAATTGAAATTTAGAAGTACCTGGGTGAATTTGGCACTATCCCTTTACCAATTCACTGTCAATGGTTTTGAGATTGGGAAAAAGAAATGAAATAACATTTTGGGTCATGCCTTTCGTTATTCTGATAACAGAGCAAAGCAGCTGTAGGAAAAATGAGGTTTTCTGGGAAGTGATCTCCCTGGACCTAGATTTTGTAGTGCATCTCTCTTGTTTTCCATAATGATGATACAGCATACATTGTTGTCTGTGGGAAAGACAAATGACCAGTGTGGATCTTGGTGTATGTGACCAAGGTACACATAATGTTTTTGTAGAATTACAGTATGGCTGTGCTTGACTGGACCATTTTTTAGTTGTGTCTGATTCTTTCTGACCCCATTTGGGGTTTTTTTTTTTTTGCAAAGATACTGCAATAGTTTCTCATGTCCTTCTGTGGCTCATTTGATAAATGAGGAACTCAGGCAATGAGGGTTAGGTGACTTGCCCAGGGTCACACAGCTACTAAGTGTCTGAGGCCACATTTATACTCAGGAAGTCGAGACTTCTTGACTCCAGGCCCATTGTTCTATCCATTACCTCACCTAGCTGCTCCTGGTGGTGCTCCCCCTGGGCTCCCTCTGATGCATAGGTGAGTATTACCAGATTAGGTGGTTTACTGAGAGAATATCTGGGAGAGCTTTCCAGTGTCTTTGGTGCTGAAGTGATGTTTTTTATGTCTGTTGTTGTTATCTCATTTAACGTAGCTGTTGTGTAAATCCTTGAAAACTCATTTCGGTAAATGGTCAGATTGGGATAAGGACTTCTCACCTTAGAGAGACAGTAGGATGGATGTACACAGGCATTTCATGAAACAATTCAATCAGGCCAATAGGTGGATGCTGAAGTATCATGAGGTAAAATTAGACAGTTTTTTTGGAAACGACTTTTTTTGACTTTTTGTTGTGAAGCAGTTGGGGTTAAGTGACTTGCAGAGGGTCACAGAGCTAATGTCTAGTGTCTGAGGGTGGATTTGAACTCAGGTCCTCCTGACTCCAAGGCTGGAGATCTATCCACTGCCCCTTTCCTCCTGTGCTCTGGGGGTTGTCAGGAATCCAAGTCCCATTCAGGGGCTGGTGATCTGCTGCTGCTGCTTCAGCTACTGGGCTGTTCCCTTAAGTGGAGCCCAGGACACCCTGCCCCTGCCATCCCTGCCCTTCCCCTCCAGGTTGTCTCTAAAGAGGCTGACCCGTGACAGCCCCAAGCTTAGCTCAGCCGTCCCACCCCATCCAGCCCAGCCCCAGCAGCTGCCCCCAGGAAAGTGGGACCTGGTTCAGTCCTGGGCCCTCCTCCAAGCACTGTGGCCCCCTCCCCTCCCCAGGCTGGGTGATGGGAGTTGAGAGAAAGGACTGGGGGGGGTGCTCTTCACTCCTCTGGGCGTGACATCAGAGAGCCCCGCCCTCTTTCCCTCCCTCCTCCCTCTGCTCTGAGTGGCTACTCCACTGCGCTACTGTGACGTCACTGTACCCGCCCCCCTACCCTTGGCCAAGGTCAGTGCTTTTTGTCTCTGGAAGAGGAGATGGAGGAGGAGGAGGAGGAGGGAGTTCCCTTTTCCCCTGAATCTCGGGGGGGCCAGCGGGAGATCTGCCCGCCCCCAACCCCCTGCCCTTCTCTGCTCCCACCACACCTCCTTCCTCCTCACCCCCCACCGCCACGTCACCTGAGAGATCCCAGAAATTCCTGCACTTTCCTGCGTGGCTGTGTGTGAGGTAGGCGTCCCCTCCCCCTCCTGCCAAGGCCCCTCCTGCCCCTCTGCATTCCCCCCTTATATTCTCTTCTGCCCTCTCTTCTGTCTTCTCCTGAACTCCCCCCACCACCAATTGGCTTGTCTTAGTGCCGAGGGGCATCTGTGTGTGCATGGGTGGGGGGGCGGTCATGGGAGTATTAATACCCTTGTTTGTGGGAGTGTTGTGTGTGTATGTCAGTATGTACTTATGTGTGTGTGTGTACTCGTGTGTACCTGCTCCCCCAGGGCTGTTCCTGCCTGGGGCTTCCTGCCTGCCCAGACCTTGGTCTGGAAGTCTGGGGCTTGGGGGGCGGTGGGGTGGAGGCCAGCAGGGAGAAGCCTTTGAGGACACTCCCTCCATCCCCTCCCCAGGTGGACCTTTCCATCCTTTCTTCCTCCCTTCCTCTCATCCTTGGCCTGGCCTCAGGGCTGGGGAGAGGGGAGACAGTCTAGAAACTCTTCCCCTCCCCTTCTCCCTCTGGTGTCATTAGATTTAATTGTGTATTTGTTTTTGTTCTGGTTTCAACCAGCACCTGGTGAAAGGGGCCTTTCCATGTACCTCATCGTGGAACAGAAAGAGGGGACTGTCCCTGAACCTGCGGATCTCTATGATTTACAGACTGAAAGAAAAGAGTTGTTTTAATGTGCACTTCTCTCGTTATGGGGGATTTGGAGCATTTTGTCATAGGGCTATTGGTAGCTTGGATTTCTTCCTTGGAAAAGGCCCTTTTCCTTTGCCCTATTGGAGAATGGCTCTTAATGTTGGAAGTTAGAATCAGTTAGAACAATTGTTTTCATAATCATTGATTTGTAGTATAGTTTAACATCTGCTACTGATTGTCATTAACCCAAACCCCTTTCTTTCCTCCTCCTGCCCTCCAGTATTACCCTAGAGATGCTTAGCCTTCTTAAAATTTTTTAGTGATGTTTTCTGTGTTTCACATCACCAAGGTATCCCATGTATCCCTCCGTCTCCCCATCCTGGAGAGCCATGCCATGTAACAAATTGTATTTTTGTTTTAGGGAGGGAAAAAAATTGAGCACTACTGATTGATGCCTGTGGAAAAGGTGTGCAATGTGTAACACCTGTGGACCTCTCACGTCCTGAAGAGGGTAGGGTGATTGTGTCTTCTCATGTTTCCTTTTCAGTCCCACTTGATCTTTAACATTTTGTTACAGGTACTTTTAATTTTTTGTGTGTCATTATTTCCATCTCAATTATTGTAGTTACTGTGTGTGTGTATGTATGAATAAATTTATGTGCATATATATGTACGCACACGTATATGTGCATACACACACATATATGTACATATATATTCTGTTTTCTTGGCTCTGCTTAATTCACTTTGAATCAACTCACAAAGATCTTTCCGTACTTCTCTGTACTCATCACATACATCATTTCTTACTGCATGGTAGCAGTATTCCATGACATTCGTGTTCCATGCCTTGTTTAGCCATTGCCCAGTTGATGAACATCTACTCTGCTTCCAATTCATAGCTGTCACAAAAAGCCCTGTTATAAGTATTTTGGAGTATATGGGGAAGTTTTTCTTATTAATGGATTCCTTGGGATGTAATGGAATCCTTTTTTTTAAAAGACTGGACATATTTGTTACTTTCTTCACATAATCCCAAATTACTTTCCAAACGGATGTGTCATTTCACAGCTCCACCAAGAATGTATTAGTGTGTGTATATTTCCACAGCCTTATTTAGGTATCCACACCACATTTGTGCCATAAGAGGAATTTGATAGGACTCCTTCTTTACTTGTTGTTTCAAATAGTGTATATAGAATTGGGATAAAATGTTTTTTAAATGCTTGGTAGAATCACTTTCAGATCCATTCATCTGGTCCTAGGGAGTCTTTTATGCCTTGTTCAATGTCTTCTTTTAAGGGTCATTTAAGTATTCTATTTCCTCTTCCGTTAACATGGACAGTTTATATTTTAAAATGTATATCCATTTCATGTAGATTGTCAGTTTTCCTGGCATGTGACTGGGCAAAATAACCCCTAAGCATGACTTTAGTTTCATCTTCTTTGATTATGCATTTGCCCTTTCATTTTTGAGATGATTAATTTGGTTTTCTTCTTTCTTTTTGTTAATCAAGCTAACTAATGCTTTATCTATTTTATTAGTATTTTCATAAAACCAGCACCTACCTGTATTTATTAGTTTGATTTCTTAAAAATTTTCTTAATCTCATCTTTGATTTAGGGATTTCAATTTTGATGTTTAATTGGATATTTTCTATTTGTTCTTTTTCTACTTTTTAAAATTTCATGCCCAATTCCTTGATCTGCCCCTTCTCTGTTTTATTGATGGAAGCATTTAGAGAGAGAAATTTCCCCTAAGGACTACTTTGGCTGCATCCCACAAATTGTGGCATGTTGCCTCATTGTTGTAATTCTGTTCCATGAAGTTATGGGTTGATTCTGTGATTTGTTTTTCAACCCAGTCATTCTTTAGGATTTCATGATTTAGTTTCCAATTAATTTTTTTTTAAAGGCAGTTGGGGTTAAGTGACTTGCCCAGGGTCACACAGCTAGTAAGTGTCAAGTGTTTGGTCTGAGGCCAGATTTGAACTCAGGTACTCCTGACTTCAGGCTGGTGCTCTATCCACTGCGCCACCTAGCTGCCCCTCCAATTAATTTTTAATCTGTTCTTCCACATCTTGGTGATTTATATTGCGTTGTGGTGTGTAAAAGTTGCATTTAATATTTCTGTATTTGTCTATTTGTTTCTGAGGTTTTTATACACTGATATATGTTCATTTTTTGTGAAGGTGCCATGTACAGCTGAGAAAAGGTTATATTTCTGTTTGTTTCCATTCAGTTTTCTCCAGAATTCTGTCACGTCTAACTTTGCTAAAGTGCTTTTCCTAAACTTCTTTTTAATTTACTTTATACATAGATTTCCCTAATTCTGAGAGGGAAAACTTGAGGTCACCCTTTGTATAGTTTTACTATTTCCTTCCATAAGTCATTTAACTTTTCATTTTAAGAACCTGGATGCTCTGCCATTTGGTGCATATTTGGTAGGTATTGATATTATATAATGGTACCTTTTAGCAAGATATACTTTCCCTGCTTATCTCTTTGAATTAGGTCTGTTTTAGCTTTTTTTTGTCTGAGATCATGATTTCTACCATTGCCTTTTATACTTCAGCTAAAGCCTAAGTGGAGAGGGGGGGGGGGGTTGGCAGGGAGTATATTGTCTGAAGCAAAGGCCTTTTCACACTTTTCACTTTGATGTTTTCAGAGATAATTTTGGGAGTTTGGAAGTTTTCTGTGGTCCAAAGTGATAGGATTTGGGTAGAGGTTTGGTCATTGCTTTCCCGCTCTATGCTGTACTTCTTCCCTAGGAAGAACCCCTGATCCCTTAGGACTGCAATTGATATTGCTATACGGAGTCACTGTTCCATTTTTTAAAAATGTATTTTATTTATATTTTTGGTGAGGCAATTGGGGTTAAGTGACTTGCCTAGAGTCACACAGCTAGTGAGTGTTATGTATCAGAGGTTGGATTTGAAGTCAGATCCTCCTGAGTCCAAGGCCAGTGCTCTATCCACTGGGCCACCTAGCTGCCCCTTCACTGCTCCTTTTTGACCAGAAGTGACCTTACCCCTCAGTACCCTTTTTCCATTGGGATTGCAAGTGATACTGTTCCTCAGAGTCTCTGCTCCCTCTTGTCAGAATATGCTCATTGCTGCCCTTGAATTGTGACCCAGGAGTCTGTATAGGCAGTGGAGTGTCCAAACAGCTTGTGTCTTGAGCTAGCCAAGAGTCTCTGTCATCTCTTTCTAACCAATTGCTAGGTCCCCTTATTGTCCCTGGCTTGAGAGCTCCCAAAGCTGCTGCTGCTTCTGACTATTAAAATTAACAACATAATTATAACATAGTAATAATAAAATATAATGAAAAGAGAAAATCATTCCAAGGTACAAATATTCCAAGTAAATGAATAATGATTTCATAGTAATGATTGACAGGTTCCTCTTAGGTCAACTAATTCCTCAATAATTAGTGACATAAGTTTATTTTTGTAACAGAAAAGAAGAACTAAAAAATTACAGTCATCTTAGGAAACTTGTTTTGAGCATAATTCAGTTGAACAAGGCAGGTCATCTCAGTGGTTTGCTTCTCCCAGGCTTTCTGAAGCCAAGTTCCTACGTTGGCAACATTCAGCTGTTAAAGTGAGATTACCCCAGAAGTCTTTGCCCCACAGCTGAAGCAGTTTGAAACCAGAAAGCTTCCTTCCAAGGGGCTAGAGTTTCAAACTAAACTGGCAAAGAGGAACTTCTGGTTTGTAGTTAGCATTCACCCCCGGCCCCCATACCCAATCCTGCACTTGCCAGAAAGGGAAACCCAACCTCAGAACATGACACCACTTAACTCATACGTAAACTCTAGCTGAAGAAAAATAAGGGAGCTTATCCCCTAAGTCTAAAGAACTGAATCTTTTGTCAACCTCCCTTTCTCACCTGCCAGAAGGGGGAACTTAGCCTTTGAAAAGAGTCTTCTTTTTTTTAATGTATTGTGATTTCTCAACAATGACTTCCATATGCTTTTGAGTTTAAAATTTTTCTCCCCCTCCCTCCCCACCACCCTCCCCAAGATGGTGCACAATCTGATATAGGCTATACATATACATTCCTATTAAACATATTTTCACATTAGTGATGTTGTAAGTAAGAATTAGAACCAATAGGAAGAACCATCAGAAAGAAGAAACAAAACTCAACAGAAGAAAAAAAAATAGCACATCGTATACTTCGATCTGCACTCAAACTCCATAGTTCTTTCTTTGGACGTGGATGGCATTTTCTATCACGAGGCCTTTGGAGATGTCTTTGATCCTTGTATTGCTGGGAAGGCTTAAGTGTATCAGTATCACTCATTGCACAATTGGCTGTTATTGTATGAAAAGAGTCTTCTAATACTTTGATTATTTTGTTCCTACAATAACATGTGTCTTACATGAAATTATCTGCTACTAAGTGTTGAAGTCTTATCAATCTGTTCACTAAATCTGTAGGTAACCTAGACTGAAGAGAATATATTTGTTAGTTTGTCTTAGCTGTTAGGGCTAGCTTTTCTTAAAGAAGGGAGCTTACACCAACAATCTAACTGAAATTAAATCAAAGTCATCAATACTAACTGATTTACATGGTATTCCTTTTCAGTCCACCACCTCATCCCACCACTGGTGTTTCCTGCACATGGGCCCCAGGCTAGCCTCCACCCCTGTGTTACAGATCTTGCCTTTCAGCCTCTTAAGTTCTTTTGGGCTTGGAAGAATGTCTCAACCTGATCTTTCATTGCCTCTGCCAGTTGAGAATTCGATGTGAGGCATTATTTTAAAGTTGTTTGATGAGGAATGTTGAGAGAGGTTGGCTTGGTGCTTCCTCTACTCAGGCTTCTAGCTAATAACTTCTGGAATTGAAGGTAGAGGATGGGACAGAGGAAGGGTTAGGATTAAGGGAACAGCACTCCCTAGAAAGTTTTGTTTCAGCTTGCCTCCCAGAACTAAATGGGCTTGCTCTTTTTTCCTCCTTTCCATTTTTCCTCACCTTGGAGTCACCAAATTAGACATTGCTGTTGGACAACAACACTCCTTACCTGGACACAGAAAGAGGAAGTGGGGATTGGCAATGAGGCTATTTTGTATTAGAATGGAAGGAACTTGGATTTGGAGTCAAAAAGGCCTGGGTTCAAATTCTGCCTCTCTATTGATGACCTGTGGAAATAACCCTAAGCAAGTCACTTAAGGCCTCTGAGCTTCAGTTCCCAGATCTGTAAAATGAAAAGGTTTCATTACACAGCGTCTCTGAGATCCCTTTCAGCACCAAATCTATATTCCTACATGTGTCTTTAAGCAAATCACTTCTCTCTGGGCATCAGTTTCCTCATCTATAAATTGAGTAGGTTGGATAGATAACCTCTGATATCCCTTGAGGCTATCTAAAATCTTGTGCATGCCCTTGGGCAAATCACCTCAGTAAGTTGAGGGCATTGGACTAGATGGTCTCTGAGGTTCCTCCCATCTCTAGATGTAGAGTCATATCATCCTGTGGGCCCAGTGACGGCCTTAAAGGAATGACTGGGAAGAGAGAGAACTAAGGCCACAGACAAACACCACACATTTGAGAATGTTGGTAGTGCCTGAAAGGAGAAAGTTGGCTTTGTTCAGAATAGAGTGTATCAGTTGGAGAGGGAGGGAGAACATGGTTTAGGGGCAGTGAAGTGAATGAAAAGCCTGCGAGACACAGTTTCTGGATTACTAATAATCAATTTATTAAATAGGCTAGCTTATAATCAATAAAGTCATGGTCAGTGGTCTCTTTCCATAACCAAAGGGCAAACTGTGGAGAGGACTGAATACTTAAATACTTTGGAAAAGGAGTTGCCCCTGACAGGTGAAAATCAGCCCTGATTGGTGAACAATTAATGAGGGGGTGGGTGTATTCATGAGGAGATGGGCTAAAAGTCTTCAGCTCCTCCTGTTGAGAACATGGCTTGATCATGAGACTGAGCAACCTCTAGCAATGTGGACAGAGGAATCCATCTCTACCCAGACCACCCTGGTTGGTTTTCTCCTTCCTGAGCTGTCACCCTGAATCACAATGGGGGCTGCAAGGGCATAGATTTCATGCACTAGGGCTGGAATTCTCTTAGATGATGCTCTGTTTACAGTGGAAACAGAAGTAAAATCTTCTAGTTGGTTGGGGTCCTGCCCAGGATCAAGGAGCATGTTGCCTGGGGATTTGAAAATCTCATTTAACAGCAATGTCCTTCAGAGCCTGAGTGACTTACAGGGGTTGGTCCCTGAATGAGGAAATAGAGAGAAAAAGCCTCAATCCTAATTTAATAATTGGTTATTAATATAATAGAGAAAAAAATCACTTCTCTCAGTAAGAAAAAACGTTTGGAAGTAGAAAAGCCAGTTTGGAATTGCAGCTGTACTACTGAGGATAATTTCAGCTGTAGCCTCACTCTCTGCTTTTGTATAGTCACAGGGTTACTGGTTTTCTTTTCTTTTCTTTTCTTTTTTTACTAGCCCTGGACAGGCCAGTTCGGTGGTGCAATGGATGGAACACTGGGCTTGGAGCCAGGAAGATCTGGGTTCAGTTCTGAGCCTAGGTACTTACTAGGTATGTGACCCTAGGCAAGTCACACTAGCCTCATTTGCCTTAGTTCCTCATCTGAAAAATGGGAACACACAGGAGAAGGAAACAGCAAACCTCTCTAATATCTTTGCTAAGAAAACCCCATGGATAAAAGTCTACAGCATCACGTAAAGTCAGCCATCACTGAATGACTGAACAAGAAGCCCTGGGCAACTGAGCAAATATTTACCTGAATTCCTGATTTCACACTGGTGAAGTCTTATTTAAACTTGATGTTTCTTTCATAAATTTCCTTGAAAATAAAGATCAGGGTTTGTTTGGGTTTTTTGTATTTTTTTCCTCACACTTTTTTAACCCCTTTGGTTGGACCACATTTAAATTTTATCCACCTAACCACATTTGAGGGTAAAATCAGCTCGGTGGTGTCACTAGTGCTATGAAGTCTTATCCTGTATCAGATGACTTTTGATATGATGGAGGGTTCATAGATAATTTTAATGTTGATGATTTAGTCTGAATTCATATTGATCCTGAAGGAATTGAGTACTCTGTTCATTTCATAAATTTAGGATTTTATTAAGCTTAGATTCTTATAAGCCAATAGCTTACTAATGTTCAGACTCCTTAAGAGTCTGCCCAATATGACAGATGTTCTAATAAACCTTGTCTTTGACTGAAAGAAGGCTTGGGTCGAATTCTTTTGGGCAGGACCTCCGTGTTGTGATTTTGGGGTCCCTGAACCCCCAAACTGCATCATTTTGGTGGCCCCGTGCGGGGAAACGGCCTAACCCCAAGTTCTTCTCCAGCCAAGACTGGAAGGTATGTAAGCCCCACCCCCCTCCTCTCCCTTCTTGCTCTGCAGTTGGTGTGACTCTCCAAGCACCAAGGCTTGGAGGTGCTTTTCTGGCAGATAGTTACGAGGTTGTCTTGTACTCGGCCTGATGCTCTCAGGCTCTCGGTCCACTGGGTGGGTTCAAGGCCATGGACCTGGGGGTACACCTTTCACAGCATAGAGGACAAGGACAGATGCCCTATCAGGAAATGTATGCTCAATTCTGTTAATTCCCTAGGCGCTAGGGAATTGGGGAAAACTGCAGTGGCTTTTTGGGTCCCTGAGGCTTACTTACTCCCTTCCCTCTGTACCTCTGAATCCTCCTTCGTGGAGGTTACAGAGAAAGTTAGAACAGCTAAAAATATCTTGGCAGATTCTGGAGGTTTTGTGGCTGATCATTAAGGAGTTTTGAAACACCTGTACAACCTGGTCACTTCCTTCCCTTGAGTCAAGAGGGTATCTGTTAACCCCTCTCAGAGCAGAAGAGAGTTTCACCCTTAACCCCTCACCTTTGATTTCACCCTTCCCCACCTGGGACAGGAAGGAGGGGGGGGGGCTGCAGCTACAGTGTGGGCCCCCATGGCCATGGCCTTGGGCCCTAGGGCAACCTTTGCCTGGAAGCATCACCCAGGTTCAGCATAGCCTGCTCAAGGTAATGAAGCTAGCCTTCAAACTTGGGTAAGCACGCTCTTTTAAATTTGTAGTTTTAACTGTTAATGATGAGATGTTGATTCCCTGTGTAAAGTAATTTGAAAGTGCATTTAACAAAACTGCAGCTTTTCATAATTTGGTTACTTCTAAAATAATTTAGCTATTGTTGTTTGTTGTTTTAATATGTCAACTAGCCAAAAAGCTCGTTTGGGTTATGTATGGCTTGCTGAGAATTTGCAAGTGTATAGACATCTCTAATGATTGGCTTTTTACACCAGGACAAATTTAAGTTTGAGATGTAAATCCTGGAAAAGTTTTTCCTAAACTGTGATTAGTGAAACTTGTTGTTTGCAATAAAAGCTGGTGGGATTTATTTTAAGTTGTCTGATGGATTGTAATAATCCATCAATAATCAATAATCTACCATCTGAGCTACTTAGAGAGAATGTGATCCTGGTGGGGAGTCAGCATGGGGGGGGGAGCTCAGAGGACGATTTTAGCCTCAGTCTAAGATGAGATCCTCCTGGCTCAGTTTCCTCATTATGTTCTTTGAAAGGGCATGTTACCTACCTGGCTATTCCTGAATCTGGCTATGAGGTGGATTTGATACTGCATGGTTGGAAATCTGAATGATCTAAATCCAAACAGAACTAAGGATGTTTTTTCTCTCAAAGTTGGGCCCTAAATCTAGTCTCTGTGTTAGATCTGGGCCCTGCACTCTTTTCTGTCAGATTTGTGTTGTCCAGACTAGAGGTCATTCACCTACAGTTGGTAGCAAACAGCGGGTACCGGCCAATGTCCCCCCATCGTTCCCAGGATGCAGCCTGGGCTCGGTTCCAGTCAACCTCCTCTTTGGGACCCCCTCAAGGCAGGGACAGGTCTATGCCCCTTGCCAGCAGGAAGCAGTTTCAGAAGCCGAGATCTTCACCCCTTGCCCCAAAAGAATTTGGGTCCCATTTGTTTGAGGGGGGGAATGATGAGGATGGGATCTAGACCCCAAAAAGGAAAAACTCTGGACTTTCCCACATGGCCAGATCTCTGATGTTCCCTGAGGCTATAATCCCACCCTTAATCCTATCTAGGCTCCATTCTCCCTTGGCCACCCCAGGAGTTCTATTACCCCATAGACTACTTGGCCACTCCTAGATCCCTCCCATAGTCTTTCTGTATATAAGGTCCATCTTGTCTCCATTAAGATGCTTAGATTCCTAAAATCTAGCCCCTGCTTAGATTCTTATAATCTAGACAATAAGCCAATAGCTTACTAATGTTCAGACTCCTTAAGAGTCTGCCGGATGTTCTAATAAACCTGTCTTTGGCTAAAAAAAAATTATTAAAAGCCTACTGTGTGCCACACTCTGCTCTGGGTGCTAGGAATCCACAGATAAAAAGGAAACAGGCCCTGCCCTCAGAGAAAAGCACATCCTATTGATGGAGACCAACCCTATTTGAGTAATACAAAACTAAAGTAGCCTGGCCCTTAAAAAGTGGAAGAAGATAAGTCTCACTATTCCTTTCCAGAGGTGAAAGGTGCACAGGGATGGCAGCATGAAATTACTTCCAGATATTTTCAGTGTATTAATTCATTTTACTGAATTTTTCAAAAATATTTTTCTTCTGTTGCATGGCTCACTGTATACTTTTGTAGTTCAGCCATTTTTCGTTCACATCATACTCTTTGTGCTCCTGTTGGGGTCTACTTACTAGAGTGATTTGCCATTTCCTTCTCCAGATCATTTAACAGATAAGGAAACTGAGGCAAACAGGATTATGTGACTTGCCTAGGTGACATAGCTAGTAAGTTTCTGAGGATAGATTTGAAGTCAGCTCTTGCTAACTCCGGGCCCACAGCTCTATCCACTGAGACACCTAGCTGCCCTAATCTGTGTACAGTCAGGCACTATAGACATATGAACAGTCTATTGGTCAAGTCTCTTAGAGGAAGTGGCAGGGGGCCAGAAGGCTCAGCTCTGATGGGGTCCCTTCTTTCCTGCATCACTGACTGATAACTTCTTTGCCACTGTCTCATCCTGGCCCCTGCCCCTCTTGCCTACTAACCTCTTTCAGACTCAGTTTCCTCATCTCTAAAAGGGGAATGATGCTGGCATTTCCTACCTAACAGAGCTTTTGTAAGGAAAGTGCTTTATCCATCTCTGAGTTGTGTAGAAATATGAGTTGTTCTATCATTAGTTTTGTCTCAAAGGATCTCTGTCCCAGGAATAGAAGAGAAAGGAGAGGGAGGCACCTAAGAGGAAGCCTGTGCCAGGATCAGGAATGCCCAAAAAGTGAGTACCCCAAGTGCAGCAAATACTAGAGTATACTAGGCATGAGGGGAGACTGAGCCCTGGGATGGATAGCTTTCCCAGGGAGGTGGGAAAGGAAGCCTGGAGTCTGGGCCAGGCAGAGAGAGGCAGGGGCAGGTGGGAATTGGAGCAAGAGAGGTGAGAGGGATTTCTCATACCACTCAAAGGAATGGAGCCAGAGAGCAAGCACATGGAGAAAAAAGCCTGCCCCAACCAGAGGGGAGACACTGGTGCTACCTCAAGGCCCCTGGGGACCTGCAACATGATTAAGAAAGGTGAGAACTGAGAAAAGTACATTGGATTTGGCATCTGAGAGATGGTTAGCAACATTAGTGAGAGAAGTTTCAGTTGACTGATGAGGGCAGAAGGTCAACTGTAGAGAGTTAAGAAGAGAGAGGAAAGCAAATAGAGGTGACTATTGTTAATGCTCTTTTCAAGGAGTTTAGCCACAGAAGGGAGGCTATATATCGGATGATAATGATAGGGGATGGATGAATCCAGAGAGAGAATCTTTTACGGATGTGGGAGACATAGACATGTTTGTGGGCAGGGTTAAGCAGCCATACACAGGGAGATACTGAAATGAGACAATGGGGATGATGGAGGGCACAGTCTGCTGGAGGAAAGGCCTGGAAGGGGATCCCTTGTGCAGGTAAAGAGGGGTTTGGCTCAGTAAGGAGTAAACACATCTCTATGTGTGAGACAGGGCTGGGGGAGGAGACAGGGGCAGAAGGCATCAGTGATGTGAGAGGAAGAGGAGGGGAGAAGAAGGAGCTCTAGGGGAATGACCTCAATATTTTCAGTAAGATATGAGGCAAGGTTCTCAGCTGAGAGGGTGGGTGGGTATGAGAAGGAGCCATTGGAGGTTTGAGGAGGGATGACAATTTTGTGAGGAGCCAATGTGGTGAGTGGGATAGTGAGTTAATTAGAGAAGTGTAAAATGATTGCCATGGGGCTCCAGGAGTAGCTTTGTCACATTTTGGGGGAAAGTAAATGCTGTTTCGTAGGGAAGGAAGAGGCATGGATGGAACCCATGTTGAAGAGAAATTCTGGTACACATTCATGCTATCACACAGGACTTGGAATTGAAAGTTAAAACTACCTGGGTGAATTGTGCACCAACCCTTTACCAATTTACTGTCAATGGTTTTGAGACTGGGAAAAAGAAGTGAAATAGCATTTTGGGCCATGCCTTTCATTTTTCTGATAACAAAGCAAAGCAGCTCTAGAAAGAATG